TATTTTGTGTTCCTTGATATGCTGTTTTTATTCTCAAAATCGGGCAGCCGCTGAATTGCATTTTATGAATCATCAAGGCGCACGGTTTCAGCTAAAAATCTTTTCCGTTCTACTGAAGAAAAAAAGTCACCTATCGCTTTAAACATCAATCGAAGAAAAAAAAATCCCAAATACAGACTCAAAGTCACGATGAAACAAAAGTAACAACAGATCTTTTCTTTTATACAAAAACAATGTAGGGCGGGGTCTTGGTTCTACACACTGGATGGTGATTGGATGTTGAGATGTGGGCGTGGCACTCAAAAATGTACGCAGATGAATGTGAACTTGCAGGGGTGGAGTTTATGCACCTAGCAACCACCTAGCAACCACTCACCACATCCTAGCATTGTGCCAACAACTTCTGCTCAAGCAAACACTCTCTAATTTACTAATTAGACATTTATCTGACTTATTTTAATCGATAGTTTATTTACAGTCACAGATTACTGGTGATCAGTGGTGATAATCACTCATAAACCTACAAACCATGAGCTACTACTATGGTAAATGTCCAAAACACCATGGTAATACCATGGTACACATGCAAAAAAACATGGTACTACCATTCTAAAACAATTATAGCACCATAACAATTTTTTACACTTGAAATCAAGTAGCGACAGACATAATTATGAGATACTAGCATGGTAAATGCCTAAAAAACATGGTAATACCATGGTACGTGTGCAGAAAAATATAGTAGTGTGATTTTAAAACCGTTAAAGCACCATGATGATTTTTGCCACTTGAAATCAAGCAGTAACAGACATGAATACGAGCTACTACCATGGTACGTCCGAAAAACATGGTAATACCATGGTACAAGTTAAAAAAAAATAAAACATGTCCATAAAACCACGTTACCATGGAAGTACCACGGTGACATTTAATACTTCTTTACAAGTGAAAATAAGCAATAACAGACACGACAGAGTGCCAATACCATGGTAAATGCCCAAAAAGCATGTATGCAAAAAACATGGTAGTAGTTATAGCACCATGATAATTGAAAATCAAGCATTAATAGACATGATTATGAGCTATGTCCAAAAAAAAACACACAGTATTACCATGACAGTACCATGGTGATATTTAATACTTTTTTGCATGTGAATATAAGCAGTGACACACATGATAGAGAGCTAGTACCATGGTAAATGACTAAAAAACATGGTATTACCATTCTAAAGCCATTATAGCAGTGAAATCAGACATGATTCAGATTGACATGATGGAAACATCACACATGTGCACAATTGTTGTGATGCTGCGCGGTGTGTGTGTGTGTGTGTGTGTGTGTGTGTGTTTTGACTCAGGCTTCCGCCACACACACACACACACACACACACACACACACACACACACACGACACCGAGCTCACGGATCCACAGCAGCACACATGATGATGTTCATAATCATAACACGAGTTAGCACCGGTGATTTACTCACATCTCAGTGGCTGACGCTGAACGTGATCACAGGTGTTTCGCGTTCTTCATCCTCATCCTCATCCTCATCCTCATCAAAGCCCGCCGCCGCTTATTCCGCTCGAACCGCGCCTCATCCGAACGGGAATCTGCTCAATGAGACGCTCAAACACTAAAGCACACCTCCTCAAGTGTACTAATGAGTGTGTGTGAGGCTCGTGTGGATCTGTGGCAGCCGAACAGTTCCCAGCCCCGCGGCGGCGCGTTCTGATCCGGGTCCTAGCGCCGCCGAGCGTCTGCGAACGCCAACAACAGGTTGCAGCGCGATCATTGGACGTTCGCTTATGAATATTAATCAGATGCTGACGTTCTTTACTGGAGCGTCCAATTAAGTAGTGTAATTAATATTCACGAGGTGAGGCTTCACACATCCATAGACTGCGAAAATGCAGTCAAATGTAAAAAAAACAACAATATTTCAGGAATTATAGAATGCTGTTTGGATACTATTTTTCTTCTTCGTATTGCTTACTGTGAACTGAAATTTTAGATCATTGCTATAATTTTATAATATTTTAAAACATGTATTGACTTTTAAATATGATATCATTCTCACTCACGGTGACGTGAGCAAAAAAAATATATACTGGGGGGGGGGGGGGGGGGGACTAAAAGGTGCATCTTTTGCGCTTCAGATTTATCAAAAAAATAAATAAATAATGAATCCAGCACTCCCTCTGTTGCCAGCCAGGTGAATTAAAGAGTGCTAATACTTTACAGCAAACATACTTTTTCATTCTTCACTCATTTAATAGACTGTATTAAAGAGACGGACTCATTAAGAAAGCATCTGCAGGTCTTCCTGCGCTTGCATGCTCTTTGTGCAACAACAATGAACTCTTTGTGTTGATCTAATTTACAAATCTAATTTGACAAGCATGCCGACCCAATTCACATAGGAAAGATAAATCCGCCCACCCAGTGATTGCATAACTCCAAAACTTCACACACATCCATACAAACTCACCTTAAACTCACAACAAACAGCTTTATACTGTGACAGAATGACACACTGATGTCTCTCAGTGATGATGCATTCCCTGTCATCTAGAACTAGACACAATCTAGTTCTGTTCACTAATCTGGATCTAGTCACTGAAGATCTCAGCCGAGTGAAGATCTGTGTTCACATGGCATCAGCTCTCCGTCTCCATGTGAACCGCTAATGTGGAGAGGCAATAGCTTTTAATTGTTTATCAAATGCCAATTAGACTCAATAAGGAAGTAATAAAAGTAGAAAGAAAGGGTTTGCTGGGTTTGTGTTGAACTCGCCTTAAATATTTGTGACTAAAACAGTAAAATAATATGCAAAAATATTTAACATTTAACAGTTTTGATTTAATACTTTTTTCATTGCATATTACATTATCATCATAAATGAACTGGTTTTAGGTTTACAATTTAAATGCATCTTTTGGTCATGTATACTGAAAAAAAAGATGACTAAAAGGTGCATTTTGCTCTTTAGATAAATCAAAAAATTATCTGAATTGTGACCTTTTTATATAATTTTTCTATTATAATAATATTTTTATACAATGCAAATGTATTTTTACAATTCATAATATAAGGAAGTAATATATAATAAATAAAAATATAATATAACATATTATATTATGTTATGTTATATTATATTACGTTAATATTATTTAATGAACCTGAGCTATTTTTTATTATTTTTACGTTATTAATATTACTATTATTTTACACATTAGCAAAGATTAATAAATACTGTAATACTGGACATTGCTAGGTAATGCATTAACTAATGTTAACTAATAGGAACTTTTTGTGTATTTATAGAAATGTATAATATTTTACATGTATTTTCTTCTAAATATAATATAATTTGCACTTACATTAAGAAAACAAAAGATGTTTTTACTGTCACCTTTTTACCTTATTTTTTTCTGTTATAATATTTTTACAATGTAAATGTATTTTTACAATTTTAAATATAATATATTTAATCATATTAATGTTCTTTAATGGATCTGAGCTTTTTTTTTTAAATATAAACTAATGTTAATAAGGATGAATAAATACTGTGACAAATGTACTGCACATTGATAGTTAATGCATTAACTAACGTTAACCAATGCAACCTTATTGTAAAGTTGTACCAATGTATGATAACTGTCTATGAGCATTTTCATCATAATAATGTTATTTCAAGAAAGCAGAGTCACCAAATTGAATTCAGGACAAGTTAATGTAGTTAATATACACTGCTGGTCAAAAGCTTGGGATCAGTAAGATTTGTAATGTGTTTTAAAGAAGTCTCTTCTGTTCATCAAGGCTGCATTTATTTGATCAGAAATACAGAAAAATCAGTAATATTGTGAAATATTATTGCAATTTAAAATAATGTTTTTCTATTTTAATATACTTTAAACTGTATTTATTTCTGTGATGCAGCGCTGAATTTTCAGCATCATTACTCCAGTCTTCAGTGTCACATGATCTTCAGAAATCATTTTAATATGCTGATTTATTATCAATATTGGAACCTTTTTTTTGGAACCTGTGATTCTTTTTTTCAGGATTCTTTGATGAATAAAGTAATAAGACAGCATTTATTTAAAATAGAAATCTTTTCTAGCAATATAAGTATTTTTTATCACTTTTGATCAATTTAACACATCCTTGCTGAATAAAACTCTTCATTTCTTTCAACAACAAAAAAATAAATAAATGAATAAAATAAATAAATAAAAATTCAAATTGCTGACCCCAAACTTTTGAACGGTATATTGTTACAAAAGATTTATATTTTGAATAAATGCTGTTCTTTTGAACTTTTTATTCATCAAAGAATCCTGAAAAAAGTATCACAATATTGATAATAAATCAGCATATTAGAATGATTTCTGAAGATCATGTGACACTGAAGACTGGAGTAATGATGCTGAAAATACAGCTGCGCATCACAGAAATACATTACATTTCAAGGTATACTAAAATAGAAAAGCATTATTTTAAATTGCAATAATATTTCACAATATTACTGATTTTTCTGTATGTCTGATCAAATAAATGCAGCCTTGATGAGCAGAAGAGACTTCTTTAAAACACATTACAAGATTACTGATGTTTCTGTCGAATAAGTTATTGTTCACTGATGTCTAAAGATCTCATATCTTTTATGCATGCATTAGCCTAGTTATCCAAACTTAAACTATTGTTTAAAAAGTGTTTAGGAAGGATGATTTTAATACAGTATTACACTAATGAGAATTGCAAACAGCAGGCTTGAGATTCAGTGCATTTTATGAGTGTGCTAGCTTGTAGAGTTTTGTTATTGCACGTAGCGCACGTGACGGAAGCGTGCTGTCTGCTGACGTCATCACAGGACACGTGACGCTTACGATCACATGACGAGCAGAAGCGGAAAACAGGAAGGAGCGCATCAAAGATATTTATTAATAATCAGGTAAAAGCTTCGTTTGAGTTAAGCACTGTGTTTCCACGCGAAACATTTTATTTGCATGCATGCATTCATTTGTAGATGACTGTATCTTATCTAAGGGTGAAGTAAACAAATCGTGGCATGCACGAACCCATCTTTGTCTCGGATCATTTGAGTGAGGATATAACAGCGTCCACTTTCATGCGCACTCATTTATTGTGAATCACCATCAAGCGTGTATTATGTGTTTGTGTATTATGTGCATTGTGTATGTTGTGTGCATCAGGGTAGGATGTGAAGATGGCCTCAGCGGTGGAGAGGACGGATGATCTGGTGCGAGAGTATCTGATATACCGCGGTTTCACCAGCACACTGAAGCACCTGGACTCAGAGATCAAAGCAGACAAAGAGAAAGGCTTCAGAGTGAGTTTATGCCTGGATATTCACCTCCACACGCGTGCAGTGTCATGCTTTCAGCGGATCTGATCTGCAGACGTGTTGCGTGCAGGACAACAGGACAATAATGAGCTATTGAGAAACATTGCATACGGTCATTTGCGTTCAGATATGCAGTGTTGGGGGTAACGCATTACAAGTAACGCGAGTTACGTAATCAGATTACTTTTTTCAAGTAACTAGTAAAGTAACGCATTACTTTTTAATTTAGAAGAGAATATCGGAGTTACTTTTTAAAATAAGTACGCAAGTTACTTTTTTTTTTTTTTTTCCAATTTATTGATT